TCGCTCTGTGTCTCCTGAGGCCGCAGTCCTGTCCCTCTCCTCACCAGGTATAAGGCAAGCAAGAGAGACAAACAGATGAGCACCACCCCAGCTCTATGCTAGTGATGTTGCATGGAGAGTTTGGCTTGGACTTGAGTCCATATCAGGCTCCTTCTCCTCCCCTTTGCAGAGGTGACCTAGGAACCACAGGAAGAGTGGTTTAGCCAGTCAGCTGCAAAGAGGTGTGTCCCCCTCACAGCTGCATCAGCTAGCAAGCCCATGCACTAGGAGAGGCACTGATGCCCATGGTCCTGCCCAGTAGATAGCCAAGTACCAGTGGATGCTGGCATCTGCCCACTCTCTGTCAGGCCCCCTCCCCGCCAGGGCTGGGGTTGGAGAGAGCAGTGAGAGGTGGTGAGGAAAGCAGAAGTGTCACTGCTGTACTTCAGGGGGACTTCCTGCTTCATAGTTTTCTGGACTGTTGAGAAAAAGAGGACAGGAGAGTGGAGAGAACCTGTGACAGTTGCCCGGGCCGAATGTCTGCATGGCCACCCACTCTTGGACTTGTGTTCCGTTCTAGCATGAGTGTCTGGGGGCCTGTGTGCCTAATACAGGGTGGCATGTGATGTTATCTTAGATTTTAAAGTTTTTAGACCAGCCCCAAATTCTAGGAATCTGCCCCAGTATCCTCCCACCCCCAAGTACCTCTCAAGCTAGTACATTCATCTCAGGCTGCCTCTCGCCTCATTCCGAAGTGGCATGCAAAGCTATTTGTCTTCCTGTCTGCCTGAGATGTCTTGGGGAACCAAGCTCATTTCTAGGCTTTTATACCCAGTACTGCTTTCTCTGTTACTGCACCTAACCTCTCCACACCCAACTCCACAACCAATTAGAACTCTGAGGAGATGGGATCACAGAAGTTTTTCTTCCCAAAGTTCCTACAAAAAACCAAGAATCTTAACATGTCTGGATATTGCTTCATTGTTCAATCAAACCCCCAGGAGTCAGGAGCTTAATAAATGTTTCATGTTGTAAAGTCCAGGTGAAAGTTGTGGGTGCCACCTGATCATTCCTGCCCCCCTTCCTTCCTCCTCAGGCTGCCTGGAGGTACTATGCTACCAACCCCAACAGGCTGGACCTCGTGGCGACGTGGAGGTTCTATGAATCAATCGTCTCCTTTCCATTCTTCAGGCAAGTGTGAACCAACTGCAGGCCAGGAGCATGGCGGCTCATCTCCCTAGGTCTTGCGTGCCTATGACTGTCACTGCTTCCTGGGGGACGTCCCTCAGGACATTGGTTTTCAGTCTGGGCTGTACATCAGAATCACCTGAGTGCTTAAAAAAACCCAATGTCCAGGCCACACCTTGACTTAATTCAGTCAGAATCCACTTTCAGGGTGAGATGTGTGGGCACATAGGTCGGTTATGGCTGATTGAAAACCATCTCCCTTCAAATAAATAAAAGAATACCCTGACAGGATCCCCAAAACAGGGGTCCACACATCAGCATTCTTGAAGCTCCCTAGGTGTCCCAAGGGTGCTTCTGGGAGTTTCCAGGTGGACTGCAGAGGGCTGACGAGGAAAGGGTCCCTAAGTGCTGCAGCAGCAGCAGGAGGTGGGGAGGTGGGAGCCAATGCACCAGGTCACACTGGAGTCCCCTTGCCCCCACCTCCTGGCCACTACCAGTGCCCACAGAGTGGTGGGGACAGGCCAGTGGAAGAGGCAGCAGGAGGCATCCTCCAGTGACCATGGCGTGTTCTGTTTTCCAAGTTGGGGGATGAAAGTTCTCAGGAATAGATAAAATCCTTCCGTGGCCAACATCTATGGGAAGGGGAGAGATCTGAATAGTCATTGATTGTCTAGTCCCCAGCTCACTTCTCACTTAATGTTCACAGGAGCCTATGAAATAAGCCAGAGGCTCTTAAGAGTGGCAATTAGTGGGGAGGATGACAGTGGGGCCCTGCACTCCCTGGCAATGACCCTGTTGTGTTAGTGGTAAAAACATGGAGAACAGGCTTCCTCAGTGATTCCACATTAGGGGCCTCAGACCACACCTGGCCATGGGTTGGATGGTAGAGTCACCAACTCACCTCAGAAGGGCACCCTGGGGCACAGACACGTTGGCATTTTGACCCACATCAATCACATGTCAGGCCCAAATCCACGGTCTCATCCCTCTGGGGCTGCTCCGACAGACTGCCCATTGCTGAGCTCACACGTTTCTGTGTGTGACAGAATGCTGGGTGGCTACGTGTCTCCAGTCAGAAGGTTAAGCAGATTGGCCAGCCTTGCCCTGCAGGTGAGACCTCTTTGAAGCAGGGCCACAGTCCAAGGCGGTGGTACCGCTCCCCTTAGCCCACCTCCCCCCTCATTATGGGACCTTCACCCTCTCTGGTCTCTGCTTCAGTTTTCCCTCCATCACCAAAGTATGGTGGAGATTTCAGGGACCCAAAAGACATAGGTTCCACCAACTCATCGTCCTACGTAAAACCTTCCAATGAATGACCTCGAGAAACAATAAAATCCCAAGCTGACCATGACATGTAGGTCAGGGCCCTGCTTACCTTTGTCGCCTCCCCTTCCTTCATGTGGTCACCTTATCTCCAGCACATTATCACCTCGCCTTCGTTCACGCTGGCATCTCCCCTTCTGTGACCTCCCCCCACATCATCACCTCCCCTTCTATTGCATCATCGCCTCACTTGCATGGCACTGTCACCTCACCTTCTATCATCCTGTCCCTCCTCATAAATGCTAGTGTCACATGAAGCTTTCTGTCAGGGCACCCGTCTGTCAATATCTGGGAGCCCTGGTTCTGTGCAAAGACTTGGGCCAGCCCCTGGCTGGACACGGTGACTTGCAAAGGCCGCTATCCTTGATCATGAAGGTAAAGAGAAGCCCCTTCAGGTAGAGAATGTCTTGATCATTGGTCAAGTGACAGGAGGGAAAGTGGTGTGTGGGTTGGAGCCCAGCTCCGGGCTCCAGGAAGGAGATCAGCTCGCAAACAACTGTAGGACCTGGGGGAGAGGTGGTGAGGGCAAGACCCTGGACAGCAGCAAGATGGCAGAGTGGAGGGAGGGCCTGAAAGGGAATAAGGAAAAGGAACTCTGAGAAGCAATGTCTTGTGGAGGAGTCGAGGAGATCAGCAAGAAGTCTTCGATAGGGAACAATAGTTTGGGTTTTCTGATGGTCTTACTTGTAAATAGATTACTTGTTTCAAAGATGATTTTTCTGGTTCCCTTCGATTCCAAAATTCTATTATTGCTGTCATCAGTTCAGGTAGGATCAGTTTTCTTTGGGACAGTGAGTCTTAGAATGGGCAGGTGGCTTCTCCCTAAAGGACGGAGCGACCTCAATCTCAGAAGCAAGAGCATGCATGCTGAATGCAGAACCAAGGCTTCCATTTGCCGTGCACCCCAAGGTCTTGGCAATAGGCCCGTTCCTTTGGGTTGATTTATTATAAATAGGGCATTGTCCCGGCTGTCAGCGACTTGGAGGAGGGCATTGTGCCCTGCATACAGCTCCGTGATATGGGAATAGCTTTTAAACTAGGAGAGAACATTTCTTTCTTTCAAGGACAAAAGTATGAAGTCACTGGAGGGATCCACTTAGCAACCATTCTGAAGCAAGATACTCCCTTGGGAAAAGGATGCCCCTGAAACCAGCCTACTCCATCTGTTAATAGTAAAGAAATAGCTGATACTACACGGTGTGTTGTCACCGGCCTCCTAAAGGAATCTGTCTTTTGTTTATGCTTGAAACAACAACTTTATGGAGAAATACAGTTGACCCTTGAACAACGCAGGAGTTAGGAGTTAGCTGACTCCTCTCCACACAGTTGAAAATCTGCCCGTGACCTTTGCCTCCCTCAAAACTTGGCGCCCAATAGCTGCTCCAGGACCCTTATTGGTGATTGACTTAATATGAAGGCAGTTAAAGTATATCATGTATGCATGGTGTATTATTACTATATTCTCACAACAACACCAAGTAGAGAAAGAAGGGAATTAGGAAAGGCGTAAAGAAAAGAAAATGCATTTACAGCACGATGATGTGTTCTCTGATAGTGTAAATTCACATCTTGTATCTCCAAGAAAATCCCCACCTCAGTGGAGCAGTTCAGACCCAGGCTGCCCCAGGGTTAACTGGATTTCCATACCCTAGGAGAGTTTCACATACTGCAAAGGTGCCCTTGTCAAAACATGGTTGGGTGACTTTGGGGATATCCACCAAGTTGGACATCAGTCACCACGGTCTATCCACAGCATTTTTATTACCCCCAAAGAAACCCTGTTCCCATCAGTGAATACTTCTGGCTCCTTCTTCACCCCAGTCTCTACAACAAGATCAGTTTCTTGTCTCTTCTGCCAATTCTGGGCATTTCACACAAAAATCAAATCTCATAGTATGTGGATTTTTTTGTATGATTTTTTTCACTTAGCACATGTTTGCAAGTTTCATCCATGGTGTCATGGGTATCAAAGCCATTCCTTTTGATGGCTGAATACTATTCCACTCCCCATGGCCCACTTTGCTTATCCATTTACCAACTGGTCAGCATCTCGTTGGTTTGTACTCTTGGGTTCAACCACCGTGAATGTTCAGGTTCACCTTGTGTGGACTTCAGTTCTCAGTTCTCCCTTGGAGTGGAAGTGGTGACTCTGCTTAACTTTTTGAGGCATGGTTGGACTGTTTTCCTCTTGCACCTTCCCAAAGTTTTCGAAGGCTGAAACCAAGTGGCCCACCACTGACGAAAAGCCGTGTCAGTCCCTGCCCCATGTCATCGTCTCCAAGTGTCTTAAACCTCAAGTGTTTGTACTCAGGGGTGCCAGTGATAGCTTATGGTATACCTTGTTTATTTTTCGTTTATCACCACTTAAAATTGTAGACTTGTTTTTGTTTTTTTCCCCCACAATGGCAAAGGCCTCAGTGAGTTTCAAGTCCAATCCCAATTTTATCTGAGAAGAAACTGAGGCCCCCAGATGTCCAGGAACTTGTTCTGACTGCTATAAGTGCTGTAAATGTGTCTTTTTTCCCTTCTTCTTTCCTTAATGACACGTTCTTTTCTCTCATTTCGTCATGGTAAGAATCATACAGCAGAGAGCAGGCCCAGGTGTTTGACTTGCTGGCCAGTAGAGACTGTAGATTCAGAACAAGCAGGCGGTAGGTGACTGAGCAGGCTCAGGACGATGCTGGGGGTGGGGGTGGCTGCAGGTTCTGACTCCAGGGGTGAAGCAGACGTTATGATGGGCGTCACTTGCCATCGCCGGAAAGGTACCCATACTAACTGGTTCCCTAAAAGGTGGTGGAATTCCCGAGTGCTGTCCGTTAGGAAAACCAATAACCACATGGAGTTAGTGAGCATCTGATCTTTACTAGTGCAATGGATGAATTGAATTTTTAATTTTATTTGCTTTTCATTTAAATATGTGACTAGTGGGTGCCATACTGGTTTGTCAGTGCAACTCTGGAAACATTAGGTATTAGAACTAAAATGGAGACGAGGAGAGGTCGGTCCAAGAAGTGAAAGTTACTCAACCAAGCTGACCCTCATCAGTCACTTGGAAAGCAACACTTTCCCTTGTATGACTTGGGTCATGATTATGGACGTGCTTCAAGAGGGAAGAGACTTCCTTCTTCTGGCCAAGTACCTTCGAATCTGCTTTTAGGCAGACTACTTTATTTAATCTTTAGAATTTCCTGGAAGATAAATTGAATGAGTAACTATGTTTTTTATAACCCCAAGATTCTAGGTGAAGAATCATAACATCAGTGAGATTAATTAGCTTTCTAATGTCACCTAGCTTGTAAGTGATGCAACAAAGATTAAACCCAGAACTGATGGAAAAGAAACATTTAAGAAAAAGTTAGTCAGGGGCCCCCATGGTGGCACAACACACTAAAGCACAGTGCTATGAAGCTGTCTGCAGCCAGTGCAGCATGAGTTCGATCCCCAGCCAGGGAGGTGACCCACATGGCACAGCAGAACCCTCCTGTCTCGCCTGCTGCTCCCCTCAGCAGTGTATTTCAGTCCAACTGCCTGTTCTCCACTATGTCTCCAGTAGATTCTCTCACACCCCCTACCCCGCACCTATGGCCTGTACCTCAGTTCTTGTATGCATAAACAAATAAACCTTTACTTTTTTTTTTTAAAGGAAAAGTTACTAAGGAAAAAAAATTGGATAAAATCAAGATGAGACGAGGGTAACTGGGGTAGATGGTTTGGGGGAGGAACAGGCTGAATAAAATGTGGGAGGACCTTTCCCAGGACCTGACTACAGTGGATGTCCAGTATCTGCTGGTTGAGTCTGGCTGGTGACACTGAGTTCTTGGTGACACAGTGGGAGCAGAAGACCCCAGTCCCAGGACTCAGGCCCGGAGCGCCTGTCCGCACCAGCAGGCCTAGGCTCAGTGCCTGGAACACAGCGAGGGTATTGATTTGTTCCATTCATCGAACGAACAGTGAGAGCATCTCACATGTGCAGGGCACTGTGCTGGGCCCTGGGGACACAGGGTGTCAGGCAGGGCCCCGTGCTGACCGGCCACGGGCTGATGAGGACGAGGACAGAGACGCACACCGTCTGTTTTTCCTGTGTGCTTAAATAAATAAATTGTGTGCAGGGGGCGCACAGTCCCCTGAATGGACTCGGGGTGCTGTGGACATGAGCGGGTGTGAAGAATAGAGCAGGATGTGGGGCCAGAGCTTTTCCAGAGCAGGGTCCAAGTGGGGGAGCAGAGAGCAACAGCACTGGAGGAGAGAGCGGGCCCCAAGACAGGCACAGGCTGAGGGCAGCCGTCCGATGGAGGGACCGAGGGGCAGACCTCGGAGTCAAGGCCGTCGGCTGGGGTGGGGAGCACGGGCAGGAAGTATCATGGTGGAAGAGAAGGACGGAGGCTCGTCTCGGAGAACGAGGGCGGATGGAGTCGGTCCTCCGCTTCCGCCCTGCGCTGGCTCCCCAGGCCTTCTGCCCCGCCCACCCTTTGCCCGCTCCCCGACTTTCCCCTCTTCGTGCCTTCCTGCTCCTCCTGGGGCCAGCGGCCCCGAGAAGTCAACAGAGTCAGAGCCTTCTCTGTCCACGTGCTCCAGGGGGAACATGGGCCCAGAGGGTGTGTTCAAGCAGAGTTGACCACGCACCAGGCCTCAATCCCCCAGCTGGCCCTGAAGTCTGCAGCCCCGTTCCTCCCACCCTGGGCCCAGTGACAGGGCCGTTGCTCACTCAGTATCGACTGCGCACCAAGCACTGCCAGGATGCTTGAGAGCGGTCCCACCCCTGGACTCCCCAGAAATCTAAGACAATTAATTGGTCATGTGGAGAAAAACCCTCTCTCAGTCTCGGCCCTGGGGGGTTGGGTAAGAACCCAAGGAAGAGGACTCCTTGGTAGCGCAGGGGTTAAGTCTCAGCACTATGAAGCTGTCACCAGCCACTGTGGCCTGAGTTTGATCCCAGCCAGGGAGTGACCCACAGAGCGCAGCAGACCTCTCCTGCCCCCCCCACTGCTCCCCTTAGCAGTGTAGTTCAGTGGATCCACCTGTTCTGCTCCCCACTCTGTCTCAGGTGACTCTTCTCACCCCCTGCACCTCTGGCCTGCACCCCAGCTCTTCTACGCATAAATAAATAAATCTCTCCAGCTGGAATGTAAAGGGGGAATTAGACTGTCCCAGGCAGAACAGAGGCCGGTGAGTCTGGGCAGGACCTGAGCAGAGGCCCTGGGCCCTGCAGGTGTGGGGGCAGCCGGCCTCGGGGAGGGAGTGCGGGCCCCAGAGCCGGGTGCCGGGATTTCATTCCTGAGGCTGCGGCTGCCCATGCCGAGGACCTGGGTGGTCTACTAGATGTCTCTTGCCTCAGATTCCTCATCAGGAGAATGGGTGATGGTGATACCTACCTCATAAGGCTATTATAAGGCTCAAATAAATTCACCCATAAAAAGCACCTACAGGTTCTCCATCTTTATCAAAGGGAAGCGTTGGGGAAGTCTGGGGGAGCACAGGCCACACCATGTGACTTATGCCTGTTTTCTTCTCCTTCATTCTTTACAGGAAAGAACAGCTGGAAACAGCCACCAGGTACGTGTCCCGTGGCGACCCCTCCCACACCGGGTCGGGACTGTGGGTCTCCTAGGCAGTCATGTTGGGCATGAGGTGGAGTTTTAGGGGTTCACTTCAGTGGCTGCCCACCATATTCCTCTGCCGTTTTCATGCGAATCCGCTCAAGGGAGCCTTCACAGGGGTCACGGCAGCGGCCACTTACTCAGTGACCGGCCAGGCCTCCGGGCAGGTGAGCCGCCAGTGGCCCCCACCCCCAGCCACAGTGTAAGATGGGTGCATCTCCCCATCTGTGGGCTGAGTCCACTGGGGCCCAGATGGGTTGCTGTCCTCTGGGGTCCCACAACTAGTCCAGCTTGAAAAAAACCCAGGGAAGCACTTGGTGGGCCCAGTGAGGGTCACACACTTGCGCCCTGCACAATCTGGTGACTGAGGAGTATGAGGCTACGTCTGGGGGCCACGTGCTGGATCCTGCTCCCACCTGTGCAGGGGGCAGGGGGCTTCGTGGTGCAGGGGTCAGCAACCGCCGTTAGCAGCACTTGGTTGAGGTTGGGGAACCAGTTCTCCAAGAGAACAGGCTGTGTTGCCCAAGGATTAGGGGGTGAAGCAGAGCAGACAACACTGGCAGGCATCAAACGTACCTCGGGCCTCAACTTCCCTAAAATAACTTCAGATTAAGGGACGTGGACAGTGAAGGACAGTCAGCCCACTTGTTCTGTGGGCGGTAATGGGGCGAGGGGCCTTCCATAAGCGGCGTCACTCTGAACACCAGCCCTAACTGCCCGGCGGGTGGCCAGCAGTGGCCGTGAGGAGGGCTGCTCGTGTGCTGGCAACGAGTATATTTTGAATCTTCAAATCCTGCAACTGTTGACTGAGTCCAGTTGCTCATTTCGTGTTTCCAAACAATCAATGCGGGAGCAGCCTGTGCAAGTCTCCTCTTCCGTATTCTCTGAAGAAGGAAGACATTTGTCCCGGGCATCTTCTTCTCTGATCTCGTGTTTAGTCTTTTCTGTTGCAAAGCTGTCCTTGCATAGCAGACCAAAGCGTCCAGGTACGGTCACAACCATTTGTGAAGAACGCCTCTGTGGGTCAGGTACACGTCGCCTCAGAAGCACCCTGGGGTAGATGCTATTTTTTTTTTTAAGATTTTATTTATTCATACAGAACTGGGGTACAGACCAGAGATGCGGAGGGTGAGAGGGTTCACCAGAGACAGAGTGGGGAGCAGAACAGGCAGATCGACGAAGTCCAGTGCTGAGGGGAGCAGCGGGCGGGTCAGAAGAGGTCTGCTGCGCCCTGTGGTCACCTCCGGGGCAGGCGGGGATCGAGCTCATGCAGAAGTGGCTTTAGCTTCTTAGTGCTGTGCTTTAACCCGCTGTGCCACCAGGGAGGGCCCTAGATGCTATTTTTAACCCTCATTTTATGGAGGAGAACTTGGAAGTCTTAGGATGCCCGTGGTATGCACAAGGTCACACAGCGAACAGGACTTGGACCAGTTGGGCTGGCGCCAGGGCCCTCATCCAGCAGCTGCCCTGTCCCCCCGTCGCGGGGGTCATTTGCCTAGTCAGTCACCACAGTGCCCCTTCTCCTTGTCTGCCTTCGCCTGCCCTTCCTCGGCTCAGCTGGTTCCCTGCCATGCGCGGAGGCGACGGAGGGCACCGAGCCAGGACGCGCCATGGAGCGAAGGAGCATTTGGCCAGCTCAGTAATTCACACTTTGCCTTCTCCCTGTGACACCGGCCACATGAGACTTATCTCAAAGGGCAGTGGGGAGTGGAAGCGAAATAAATCTCCTTCGTGTCCCAGAATCAGAGGTGTGCAGGCACGTAAAGGCCAAGGAACCCAATTTTGTTGATGAGAATATTGTTACCCGGAGCAAAATGAGGTTCTTGGACAGGGTACCACAGCTGTTAGCACCCCGTGTTCCAGCCCCTGCCACGCTGGGTCCCGGCTGCAGTCCCTGACACTTGGACAAGTTCTGTGTAACCCCAGCGTGGTCGGCAGTATGTTGGGTTAGTCATTGTGATAGGGGCTGAGAACAGACTCCAAAGTTAAAAGTAACATACATCAAAGCCTGGCGGCCTTCCTTAATCACAGTGTGATCTCAGGCAAGTCACGTACCCTCGGTGCGTACCCTTACCTGAGATGCGGGAGTGGTAACAGCACCTGTCTCGTGGGCTGCTTGTTGCGACCCCTCCGGTCAAGTGCGTAAATACTCACTAGGAATCTGTGCATGTTGTCCATACGTGAGATTTGGAAACAGACAAATTCTTTTAGGAAACAAATAAAAAACATACGTTCTCCTGACTTTCACATCGTGCGTGTGCCTGTGTGTCCTTGCAACACCAGCTACAAGCACCTTGCCCAGAGAGCTGTAGATTTGCTGGATCAGAGAAACCAAATAGGATGTTGACTCAGCTAACTTCGCAAGCCCGTACCAACAAGAGAACCAGATGAATATATCAAGGTTGTTTCAAAGTCGCGAGGCTGTTTCTTACAGTCAGGTCACACCCCACCGCCCTGCCCCGGTCCATCACCCCATCCCCTCCCAGCTTGGCCAGGGCCCCGGGATCCAGCAGCCGCTGCACTCCCCTCAGCTGCCTCATCCCTGGAAGGCAGAGGTTGTCTGGGCTCCCAGCCTATTTCAGGTCCTGAGTTGGTGCCATATAGCAGGATGGACTCCGTGTTGTCTTGTCTCATTAGCCATGTGAGTTACCAGTGCTTGTAAGAATTTTGACTGTGATCTCAGGCACATTTCTATCATTTCTTCATCTATATGATAGTGATATAAGAGCATCTACTGTTATAAGGATAAGGTGCATAGAAGTCAGTGCTACCGATGGCAAATACTACTTAAGGGCTTGTTTTTATTATAATCACTGATATTATGCTGGTTGGCCCAAATTTCCAGGTTTTCTGTACCCAGGATCTTATCACAGGGTCGGGCTGACTAGGAGATGGCTAAATATGTTGGAATCCTTGCTTTGCAATACTTTCCCCCTCCTTCCCAGTCTCCTTCTTTCCCTCCCTCCCTCCCTCTGTCACCCTCCTTTCCTTCTCTTCATTTTTTGCTAAAGTTAAACACTAGGTGTTAGAAGCCCTGCCTTGTGTCATACACTAGAGACTCCCAGGAGGTTGACCATAGCCTCATGGGGGAGGCACACACAACTTGATGGAGAGGAGGATGTGTCAACCAGCGGAGAACAATGTGGTTTGGAGGATGCCAGTGTTGGGATACTACTGAGGTAGGGAGAACAAAGCAAAGGAGGAGAATTCTAAGTCCTAACCAGAACAAGAGGCCAAGAGCAGTCACGGAAAGGCTTTCCTTTGTCCTGACCTTCAAGGACTGCAGCTTTCCACTGGGCTAAGGGAGAATTAAGGCACTAATTTTGTTTCTTTCTTCTTTCAAACTTCAAAGAAACAAGTATTGAAATCTTAGGCTGGAGAACTTTCCATAGGGCGGCAGTTTCTACATGAGGAATCCCTCAATTGTTAGATCAATAAAGATGCATGGTGTGCAGATGTCCCAGGGAAAGTTGGCAAAATGCCAAACCAGTGAGTCTTCATTTCTCTAAAGGGGAAGTTATTTTGTAGCCAGAAACAAAAGGCATGAGGTAACTGGCTCACCAGCTCTTCTGCAACCATCATAAGAGTTTAAAGAAACCATCGTCGTTGTCTTCGGTATTAGTACTATTTATGGGAGGACGTTTAGTCTCCCCAATTAACATTTCCCATTTTATTAAAAAGCAGTGAAGGGAACACAGCAGCTTTCATTTGTAGTGTTTTTGCAGAGAGAAAATAGAACATCAGGACCTCAAAGAGTTGGCATGTGGAGAGTGACAGGTACTTATTATTTCTCTACTTTGTCTGTCTTTCTCAGGGTTGACAGTGTTGTAGTGTAACATTGTATTTTCCATATAGAAAGATGGAAGGATTTAAGAATGAAGGAGAAAAGGAACAAAGTTAAGGCTTACACTCCTCTAAGTGGGATTGGTCCATCGGGACTGGCTATCTAATCCACGCTCTTACATTCTCACAAGTAGAACAAGACAAATTGGACACTTGTTAAGAAGATTCTTCTGTTGGCTATAATCTGTACATCCATCCACCCACCCATACATCTTCTGTCTTCCCTTCTCTATCATCCTCCATCTAGTTGGCAGCATCCATGTACCATTCATCATCCATCCATCACCATCTATCGTTCACCCACTTATCCATCCATCCATCCACCCACCCATCCAGCCATCCATCAGTCCACCCATCCACCATCCATCCGTCCACCCATCCAGCCATCCATCCGTCCACCCGCCCACCCATCTATCCATTTATCCATCCATTCTCTTATCTAGTAAATATTTATTAAGACCTTCTTCTGTACCAGAAATCATTTTGGGGCTATAGCTATGAAAAAAGGAATACAAGGCCCCCAAAACTGTTTACTTGACAGAATGCCCCTCAGATTTCCTAAAAGTAGCATGTCTTCAAACTCAGCTTTTGCTAGTTTAAATTTCAGCTTTATTAGCTTATCCAGCACAAACATGCCCAACAAAGATGGTCTAAAAACATTAGAAAAAATGATGTAAAAATAAGCTTTTGTAAAATAATAAAAAAAAAATAGAGAATATAGTTGAATTGGTCCCAAGAAAATACAGAATAAAATTAGCAGACATTACTACATGAAGTAAGGCTTCTAAGGTTGAGGGGGAGACAGAGAAAGGGTCAAAGGCCTTAAGGGGTGCTGGTGGGAAAATATAAAAGGGAATTAGAAAACTGTCATTAATACCAGATAACACTGACCCCATTCTATTGAAGTCATTTTGGGTCTATTTTTCCCATCTGACTGTTTGCCTGAGAACTTAGCGTACTTTGAGTCTTCAGATCTAGTACAATCTAAAACAAGACAGTTTGGTAATGGCCTTACAATCCACAAGTCTGGGTAGAAGGGCACTGTTATGAGAGAGAGAGAGAGAGAGAGAACTGACAGCCCCTAACCCCTTCTGCCAAAGAAGGTCACCACAAGATGATGGTGGCTAAAAACCAAGAAAGAAAAATTTGAAAAGAGAGGTGTCATGGATTTGCAGAAGATGAACTGTAACATAATACATGCTTCTCAACATTACTCACAAACTATGTAAGTTAAAATAACGAGGTGTCATTTTTTAAAAACAGGTGAAAGTTTGGGGGGAAAGGCATGGTCCTTTAAAGTAATTGGGACAGAAGTTGGCTCAATATCTTTCAAGGTATTTTGCAATATCAGATTTGCATGGGTTGATACTTTGACATAAAAAAATAATAATAATAAACCGTGGTTGATAATTGCTGCAGTGAGAAAACCCCTAGGAGACTTGTAGGGATACAGAGCCCAGAACAGATTGGACCAACTTGCAAGTGAACTTTGGGGCTGATGCTCGGACCAAGTTTTAGACAAAGGCCAGTGTCATTTAGGTGAGTGGGGAGGAAGGTTTCCCAGGTACCTCATGGCTGCGAACAGAAGCTGCTGTGTGTCGGCAGGGAATTGTCGCGAGTGTCGCGTGGCGGCAGCTGTCTGCTATTGAGACCTGACTTCACTTTTCCACCCCAGTTCCTCTCTCTGTGGCTTTTCCATTCATGTTCAGACACTGCACCTAATTCAGGGACCTTATCTTGCCTCCATCGTATAGTTGTTATCAAGTTCACCTAGCAGCTCAGGACCTCATCTTTCCAAGAAAATCTTCTGTCAGCTCCGAGGAAGGCTTTCCTGGCCAGATCTGACTGTCCTCCACAAAGGGCCCGGATGAAACGCTTGGAACTCCAGAGACAGAAGGGCAGCGGTGGGTTTTGTGTTTCAGGATGAATTGTGCTTGCATTTGATTTTCCGTTGGGATCTCGGATTTCAGGCAACATGATTAAGAAGCGAGCTGATCTCCCACTCTGCTGGAGGGAGAATTCCATAAGCTTCTTAGGGGCAATGGCTGTGAGTAATTAGAGCTGAGGCATCTGACTTGTACCGAGGCATCTGGATTCTTAACGCTGTGGAAACCCATCTCTTACAAACTGTCCTCTGTGACCAGATGGGTATTAAGTGAACAGCCAGAGCAACTCAGACCATTAGCTGTTGCAATGAAGCATTGAACTGCCGAGCAAGCAAACGCCAAACCCAGGGAGTGAGTCGGCTCATGCCCACCAGTCAGCAGTTACGCTGAGCTTCTAAGTCGGCATGGTGGCTGCCGTTAGTTTTACCCTGCTTAGTTTATCTGGCATTAGGCTCTGCCAGTACGTATCTCCTGGAGGTCAAGTGCAGTGATATTGGTGAGTGTTTGGAGCTAATTTTAAGTTCTGCAAAAGAATATATAAATCCCAGGAACTCATTTTAGTTCGTGAACAAAAAATCCAACTTTTTTGTTACCCAGAAATGACAAAAAAGCTTTTTCATCATCTGTTCTTTTCACACGCCATTAGCCTCCTGCTGCTTCTGTGGGGAGAGGATTATTTGCGAGATAAGGGTGACAGTCAGCATTATAAAGGCGAGCACTGAATCCCAGGCTCTCACAGCTCCCAGGTGGTGGGCTCAGTATTTCACAGGAGTTGCCTCATTTAACCCTTAAATACCCCGTGCAGTGAGGGCTGTTGATGGGTCCATTGCCAGGACAGCGGGACAGCAGGGCCCAAGCAGTGGATGTCTCCGTAGTTCAGCTCACGGGTGGAGAAACCTGTGTGTGTTGGTGCTACCTGCCTTCTCGAGCACTTTGAGCCCTGGCACCCAGCCGGGTATTCGTCCTATTAGTCATTCAGGGAAAACCGCTCTGAAAAAATTGACTTCACTCAGGGCAATGGCACCATCTGAGCACTTGAGTTTCTCCACAATTAGCCAGGGCAGGTTCTGAGTGCATCAGGGATGGGCAAGTGGGACAGGTCCCAGGAGTCGGGGTCTCGTTCACTGTCAGCCCGGCATGTCTCAGCACCTTCTGGACACCAGGCTGAAGGCAAGAGGCCTCCAGGTGCTCTCGTGGGTAACATCTGAGACTGTGAAGCAGGTATTGGCCGGATCCCGTTACCGCCGCCTTGGGTTCAGGGCGCCCGGAGAGCACAGGGTACCTGCCCAAACTCACCTGCCCTCTGCCACCCACACCTCACGGCACCAAGCTGCAAAGACAGCAGAGGCTTCTGCAGACAAGCAGGGGCTGTAGCAGCCAGATCTGCTCTTCAGAATCCGCAGTTATCCTGGGTCGATACAGACCTGGTTCGACAATAGTCAGCGGCTCATGTCTTTATTGCACAGGCGTGTGAGGGGTGATGGGGCGGTGGAGGGGCGGTGGTGAGTAGGTTGCAATGTGAACCTACACCCTGGCTGCCACTGACACAGCCCCCCACAAGGACTTCACTCCCTGTGTCCCCCAGGGTGAGGGTGGAGGCTGAGAAACTGAGGCAGGGATGAATATCTACAGAGCACCTACTATGTGCCAGTCTCTGCCAAATCCTTAACAAGTGTCATCTCATGGCAACCAAAAGAGGTAGGGAGTATCCAGGCCTTGTTATAAAGACGAGGTGGTCAGACTCAGGGTGGTGTGGACTTGCCCAGCACCACTGAGATCTTACTGGTAGAGCTGGACTGAAATCGAGGGGCAGCTGGTATTTTTAACTTGAAGTTGAACTTGTTGGTCATATCTGCATCCAGAACACTTTGGCAGTATGGGTTCCTGGACCCTTTGTCAGAATAGCAATTCTGAATGGGAATAAAATGCATTAGTTACAGATTGTATTAAAACATCATCAGAATTGGTAAACATCTGAGCTGAATCCCACATGTGTTTTATCAGGTGAAATGAATCTAATGACAAGGCCTAGTGGTGGGCTGGACATGACTGTGGCTTTGAAGGGTGAGGTGCCCAAAGCAGAGTGACACCTAACACCCTAAAAATACCCTGTGCTTGCCTTTGTGGGGGGTCACAAATTCTAAGCAGGACAGGAGTTTACTACTGGGGCTTGTTATCTCTTCATCATGCGAGAGTTGCTCAAATTCACTGAGAAGTTAGTAAACAAAAGACAGTTTTTTCCCATTCACATTCATGTAGCCTCCAAATTCTATCCATGGAGGTATCTGTGACCACCAGTTAGGGCTCCTGCCTTGTGAGATTTACAGCATTCACTGTTGTTCAAGTTGCGCTCTGGGTGCCTGGGCGTGGTATGCAGCAGACGTCACCGATGCTAAGGAGCAGGGAGAGGAAAGGACAGACTTACGGTGGACAACTCTGATCTGGGCATTCTAGACCCCCTGTCTCATCTGAGCTCCCCTTTTTTGGAGGAAATGAAGTCTAGAGGTGTTAGGGAGCCTGCCCACAGTGTCCCGGCTGGCCCGGCGTCCACCCACGGCTGACCATGCCCTGTCCGAGTCCAGGCCGCCGAGTGGGTTTGGCCCTGGGTGCACCTTCATCCCCACGTGGGGGAAGGAGGTTGTGCATTCTTGATGGAGAGGGGTGGAAATTACGAGAGCCTGCACTGAACGAGGAAAATTGTTCACTTTTGCTTATTTTGTAGCCAAAAGCTGGGTCTCTTGGATCGGGTTCGCCTTTCTAATCCTCGTGGTAGCAATACTAAAGGAAAGCTATTTACCCCTCTGAATGTAGATGCCATAGAAGAAAGTCCTTCTAAAGAACCAAAGCCTGTTGGCTTAAACAATAAAGAACGCTTCCGCACGGCCTTCCGCATGAAAGCCTACGCTTTCTGGCAGAGCTCTGAAGGTAAAGCCTCTCTCCTCCCTGCCCCTCCTCTGCTCCCCCTCCCAAGCCCTTCTCTCCCTCGCCTCCCTCCTGCCCCTGCTGAAGATGGTCAGCAAAGTACCTGGTCCCCAACCTCCCTGAACCAGCGTCTTGCTCCTTCTTATCCAGAGGAGCTGGAGGTCCTGAAGAGGTGTGGGTGTCCCCTCACCCCCACAGCTGCCCTTTGAGTTACCAAGGGTCAACCGTGTCCAAAAATATTGTCTGCAATAGGATATTTTGGGGAGAGAGCCTGTACCCACATAACTTTTGTACAATAGATTATTATACTTGCTCCATTGAGTTTTTGTTACTCACTTCTCATTGTGCCCAACTGATGAGTTTAATTTTATCATAGGCACTTTATTATAGGAAGGAATGAAGTCTCTATAGGGCTTGGTCTTACCAGTGATCCAGTCCCCATCACTGGGGATCTTGGTGGGAATGCCCTGCAGAGAAGCGGGGACCACTGTGTTTCCATCCCTCACAAGGCAGAGGGCCCCCAAGTTCCCTACCGTACATGCCTGTGCAGCCCCTCTGGGAGACCTGGACACAGAGCCAAGGCCCCAAGGATAGTAATGAGTGCATTGTCGGGGGTCAGCCTCAAAGATGGAGTGGCCCGGGTGCATGAGTCCGGAGTCAGGGGTCTCAGTACAGGAACCAGACCTAGTGTCCCTTTCTCTTGGAAACAGTGAGGAGCAGCAAGTCTCAGAAAGTGGCCCCTGCCCCTAATGTCTCACAGTGACTGTGGAGCCAGAAACCAAATCAGGTCTGGCTAATGTGTAAGCTCTTCACTCGGGGGGCTGCCCAGGACCCCTGCGCCCACATCACCAGCCTCCTTGTCTGCCTCTGGCCAACAGTCTCAGACTTCTGGTCATAGAAGGGGCCACTGAGAAAGGCTGACTGACGCCCCAACTGTCTCTCAAAGAAGCACTCCAGAGGCCGAGCTGGGAAGGTTCTGGCGGAGCAGCGTCCCTGAGCCCTTCTGGGCATGGCCTGCCACTGATATGCGTGTCTCCCTGTCAGATGCCGGGACGGGCGAGCCCATGGCAGAGGACAGGGGGTACGGGAACGACTTTCTCATGGAAGACATGATCCCCACCTTGAAGGCCGCCATCCGCGCTGTCAGGTAAGGAAGGGCCCTACCTGTGGGCCTCCCCGGGCTCAGCCCAGCTCCCACAGGTTCTGCTCTGTGAAGGGTCCATGGGCTGTGGGAAGCTCCTCACAGCAGGTCAGGACTTCATGGGTGACTGTGGCACCCCCTTTTATCCACAGCTCCCATAGGTGCCAGTTGCTACTCTCTTATCTAACTGTAGCCACTACTCCTGCTTAAAGAAGATCTTTGATCAGGGTATGAGTTCATAAGCACTCTACCTTGGTAGGAGTAAATTCTAGAAACTAAACTAGATTCCTGAACAACCATGGGTGGTAGTTTCAGCAAAACTCCCAGTCCAATAGGTAGGGAAGCAACTGTGTTATTGGTTTGTCAGGAAATGCATGATGCATTTTTTTTTCAAAGAAAATACATCAGGGCTTTCTAACAATATGACGTGGACCTCAGGAAAGCTTCCAACCTGACTTCTCAGGATGCCATTGTGTACAATCAAACAGAAATATGGCTGGACTCCTAGCTGGTTAGCTGGCCTTGTTCAAAGCAAACCAATGAATCAATAAGTCATGTGGCAGGAGAGTCTGCCCAAGGTTCCGAGGTCTGGCCTTGGTCAGAGTTTTCATTGGTGCCTCAGTTCAGGACTTGGCAAACGTTTCCTATTAAGAGCCAGAGAGCAAACACTTTAACTTGTGGCCCATAGATCTCCTTGGCAAGCATGCAACTCTGACGCTAGAAGTCACAATGCCTAAACGAAGGGTGTGGCATGGCCAGCCCAAGACATGGCCTGTGAGCCAGTGCGCTGACCACCTGAAACTGCGGTACATGAAGGGTGGCTTTATGAAATGACACAGAGTCGGAGAGAGGGACTAGCTGGGTGGTATGATGAATATGTCAAAATCGAGATTAGAGGCTGGAGTCCTGGAGCTGTAGCTGGGGGGGTTAATTGACTCTGGTCAACGAGTTGATTCAAAGAGCACTGGTCATTTAGAATGACTTTACTGGCCAGGAAGATGGAAGCGAGGGGTTGACATCTGTGAGTTCTGGGTGCCCCACTTTACTAGGAGCTGAGAAAACCCAGGGGAGAGGACATGTCTTCCCTTTCCTAGCTGCTCACAAGCCAGAGGAGTAAAGAGGGTGTTGAAGAGAAGCTGTGTCAACCGTCCTCAGCAGAGAGCAGTGTAACACAGGGACAAGAGTGTGGGTCTTGTCTGCCTACAGGCCTGGAGTTGAGTCCAGTCCTCCATTATTTCTCTGTGGAGACCCCAGAGCTTTCTAGGCCACTGTTGTGACATTCATGGCATTTGTTCCAAAAGCACTTAGCTCAGCATCTGGCCTGGAGCGAACACTCCGTGGGTGTAACTGTTACTGTTATTATGATGTTTTGATTATTCATAAGACCAAAGAGAGGCGATTGTGAAGGAAAGGCACTAGCAGCTGAGTTCTCCACCGTGGAAGGGGTAGTCGCAGAACCAAAGGTTACAACTTCTCTCTACCAAATCTTTCCTCTCTGGTTCCTTTTTCTCCATGCCCCTGAGTTTCTGATCTTGTATCATCATTTCCTTCACTCTCTACTCATGAGTGCAAATGTCTCTACTCCACCTTGTAGAATTCTACAATTCCGTCTCTATAAAAAAAAATTCAAGGAGACCTTGAGGCCTTACGACGTGAAGGACGTGATCGAGCAGTATTCTGCGGGCCATCTTGACATGCTTTCCAGGATCAAGTACCTGCAGACGAGGTGAGACCATCATATCTGGTCCATCATATTTGTTCTCCTGACCACTATTAGAATCAACACCAGAGGAGCCTTAGCACTGAGAGAGAAAAGCATTTGGAAAGAATCCAGAGTTTTTTTAAAGATTTATTTACTTATGCACATAGAACTGAGGTATAGGCCAGAGGTGCGAGGGTGAGGTGAGAGGACCCACCATAGACAAAGTAGGGAGCAGAGAAGACAGATATACTGAAGTACACTGCTGAGGGGAGCAGTGGGCGGGCAAGGAGAAGCCTGCCATGTGGGTCATTCCCTCCTAGCAGCGACTGCTATAGCTTCTAAGTGCTATTCTTTAACCCATAACCCATTGTGCCACCAGGGAGAGCCCAGAATCCAAATTTTTAGAACAAAAATTGTTAGTAACAATGATGGATGGTGAGGCCAGCCAGCACCAGGTCATACAGATTGTGAAGAAACTCTAATCCACAGCCAGGACCAACACCTTGATCTGTCCTCACAAGAGAAGACCTACATCTGACTGGCCACTGCCTGTGGTGCTTTAGATGTTGCCAACAAAATTGGGGTCATCTAAACTGAGGCCAGCTGGCTAAGGCTAATTCACATTTCCTTCAAATGAAAAAAAAAAAAAAAGTTCAGCAATGTTATATTATAATAGTGAAAATACAGAAACAGCATTGAAGCTCAACTAGCAGTTGCCACCATTTTTCTTGTGCATTTGAGAATCCTCATTCCTTATAATCCTCTAAAGTATTGCATGAGAGGTGCCAGTTTACAGTGAGGAATTCAAAACTCAAAGAGCAAAGGGCTTACCCAAATTGCCCAACTAGTAAGTGGCAGAGCTGAAAGCCAAAGCAAGTTGTGTCCTCTCTAAACACCACACACCTCCTCAACTATAAAATAGCAATCAAGAAAAGACATCTGCTCTCCCTAAGGTAACAGCCATCAAATGAGATTTCAAAAATGTACATAATGAAATAGAAAGCACCTGACCGGTGAATATATCTGCAGAGCGATGCTGACTTTACATTCAGACACACACACCCGGACTATACTTACCTGTGCATATGTAGGATTATGTTATCTATATGCTCTCCCTACATCTTGTGATAGTGTTAATGAATATAAATATATATAATGATTTTAAAATCCTTTCTCTTTCTCTCTCCTCTGTGTAGGGGGGCTAGGAAAAGGAGTAATGCTCCCCCAAGGAATGACAGTGGTTATCCTTGTTGACGAATCAGTATGAGATTTTTTTGTTTCTTAAACTTATCAAATTTCTAATGAAGTATAATACCTTTTAGGAAAGAAAAGTGATTTAAAAACCTAAAGGGCAATAATGAGCCACAGAATTAGTACCAGGAAGCCACAGTCTTCTGGGGAGCTCACCCTCTGACGGGTGTGATACTGCAAATGGACAAGAGCCAGGCCCCCTCTGGGCCTCAGCTTCCTCCCTGAAAAGTGTTTCCCCATCAGGATTACTGGAAACACCTGCATGCTGAGAGAGCTGGGAGTGACTGGATGTTGTGGGGGAGGGTCTCATTTGTGACGCTCTTCATGGGTGCCTGGCCCACACATGGAGCTCAGTGTGTTGAGGCGGAAATGGGTATGTGGGCTGCTTTGGAATTCAGTGTGCTGGCAATGATGTACAGAGGACGAGAGCATGATGCTAGAAGAGACCAGACTCCCCAGACGCTGGCCCAGCTTCCTGTACAAAGTGGACAGCATGTTGTGACTTGTAGGGCTGACTAGGCAGGCGGGCTCCAGGAGTCCCCCCGGAGGCTGGTATAGGCCAGAGGGAGGGGCGCTCAGCCACATGGTGTCCGTGGGGAGCAACAGGCTCCCAGGGACCGTGATCCCGGCTGCTTACGGGTCATGGTCTTGGTGGCCCTGCCCCCAGCCTGCAGCATGCTGGGGACATTTGCTATCTGTAACACTCCAGAGAAGTTACTGCTGCTCCTCCAGAAAGGGAGCAGGAGTGGGAGCGAGTGCGGGAGCCATCTCAGGCAGAGAGCTCATGGCTAACAGTGGAAAAACTCCCTGATGAGAGTGGAGTGAAAGATCTGGAAGAGCAGACAGGCTTAGAGAACATAAGAAGCCCCCCTCAGGAATAGCAGGGTGCAAGCCTCACCCTATCTCTGGTCAGGCTTCTTCCCTCTCCCTGGGACAGGTGCTCTGATCACCTGGACGAAAGGAGCGTATTATATCACGATTATAAATTCTCTCTCTCCCTCTGGCTTTGTTTCTCCCTCTTTTCCCTTCTCTTATACATTCCAAACCCATATGACAAAAGTGGGAACAGAATGAGTTGCCTCCATCTTCCCGTGAAGAGCTCTCTGTCATGTAAACTTTGTGTGTTCTCTTTCAGAATAGATATGATTTTCACCCCTGGGCCTCCTCCTACTCCAAAGCACAGGAAGTCTCAGAAAGGCACAGCGTTCACCTATCCGCCCCAGCAATCTCCCAGGTAGGCTGTGGGCAGGACGGGCAGGTGCCAGGCCGCAGGGTGCAGGCTGCACCCCATATCTCAGCTGGCTCCTTGGTAGCCAGCTGATGTTTTCTTTCCCCAAATGAAGAGAAGGAGGCGGAAGCTGATTCAGGTTTGCAGCCCTTAGAGAGGTTTCTGTGCAAAAGTCACGCGCTCCTCTGCCGAACATGTGGGTGAGTCTCCTTTTCGTGGTGATCAAATGAAAACGACCCAAGAGGAGACAGATGGACCAGTTTACCAGATCAGAAAGAAAACTTCCTCCTGTGAGCAGGGCGCGGGCCTTTCTGGGTCTGCGTCAGTTGTTTCGACTTTTGCTGATGGGTTAATTCTCCTCCCGGGACAGAGCCAGAGGAGGAAAGTGCAGGCCAGACCCCACCACATTGCTGCGCCCTGCTCTCCCCGAGTGCTTGAAGACGTTCCTTTTCTAAGTCGTGAGGAAGAAGAGCTGTCCTTTAGAAGCCCACTGCCTGAACTTACCTTTCTTTAGTCCCACGGTCTCGAGGCAGGTAACACACATGAGTCAGGCTGAGGACTTCACGCACCCACAGGAACAAGCCTCCTCATTGTAAGAGAAGCAAACGCATGAGCAAGATGGCCTCAGGCACCTGGTCACCTGTCTCGGGCCAGGGAACGGAAGAGGACAGTGGCTGGAACACCTGGGGGCCTGGCCAGTCTAGAGCGGGTCATTGTTACAGTGACCTGTTGCTGCTAGTTTTAGGAAGAAGGCTTCCCCTGAGCCCAGATAGTCTAACTGGTTCGCAAAAAGTGAACCAGCCAAACTCCATGTGAACGCTCCCCTTTGAGTTACGGCTTAAGTGTTTTGAAACCCTGTGTGAACGGAAGAGCAACCTGGGGGCCGGACGCAGCACAGGGCCACCTCATTGGCTTAAATTCAAGACAGCTAAGCCGAAGACAGAGCGGGGGACTTGCGCCCATGAGAGAAAAGAAGCTGCCCCCTAACAGCAGACTTAGAGCTCTGGTCGCAGCCCCAGAGGGCACACTGACAGGCAGAGCTGTGTTGGGGCTGGCCGGAGCTCAGGCAGATGCCAAGGGCAAAGGCAGACGCAGGCCAACCCTGTCCCACTGGCATCCTCCTCCATGCCGTTTCCTGACGCAGCCCGTATTTTCCGTTCTGGACAAAATGAAGCAGGTGAAATGTTAATGCCCACTGTACAGGATTTCAGAGATTAGACACTCTCTCCCCACCCTCGTCCCCCACGCACTTAGGGAAGGACCGAGGAATGTGATTTATTTTGCTTTTTTTTTTTTTTTAAAGATTTATTTATTTGTACATACAGAAGTGGGGTACACAGGCCAGAGGCTCAGGGGCGGTGAGAGGCCTCACCAGAGACAGAGCGGGGAACAGAACAGGCAGATCGAGGAAGTACACTGCTGAGGGGAGCAGCGGGCGGGTCAGGAGAGGTCTGCCACGCCATGTGGTCACCTCCGGGGCAGGTGGGAATTGAACTCATGCGGAAGCGGCTTTAGATTCTCAGTGCAGTGCTTTAACCCGCTGCGCCACCAGGGAGGGCCTTATTTTGCTTTTTGAAGATTTATTTATGCATACAGAGTTGGGGTGTAGGTCAAGAGGTGCAGAGGGTGAGGGTTCAGAGGTGCAGAGGGTGAGGGTTCACCAGATTCACCAGACACAGAGTGGGGAACAGAACTGAAGTCCACTGCTGAGGGGAACAGCAGGGAGACAGGAGAGGTCTGCTGGGCCATGGGGGTCAGCTCCCTGGCTGGGGACCAACTCAGGCTGCAATGTGGACAGCTTCATAGCTGAGACTTAACCCCTGACGCCACCAGAGACCCAAGAAGTGTGATTCAAAGGCACGTACCCTCCAGCACAGGCAGGAGCTGTGTTGTGACAGGAAGCTCTCACAGCGTCTGACTGGTCTATGCAGTATCTCCTGGCTGAAGCCGCCTGGGGGCCCCATGCGGATGGCAGGACGGTGCCAGTCCCCCACAGCCAGAGCATGAGCGTGAGGCTGCGGCTTCGGCCTGGGCTGAAGTGACCCAGCAAGGCAACAGTTCTGTGGTTACAATGCTCTGACAGACCTCTGCGCTCTTTCCTAGGAACGAACCCTACGTGGCCAGGCCATCCACGTCCGAAATGGAAGACCAAAGCATGATGGGGAAGTTTGTGAAAGTCGAAAGACAGGTAGGGCTCATCTTCCCCTCCACCACAAGAAGTTCGTGGAATTTATCTTCACATGCTTTTCTTTATCCATGAGAGAGAACATCCGATAGTATTTACCACTCACAGAGGATTCGGAACTTCAGTCCCTGACGTAGCACTGTTGGCCGGGTGACTGTTTGCAGGTTCGGGAACTATCCCGAGCCTGGGTTTCCACACAGGTTGTTTAACGCCTTCCTGTGCGGAAGGAACCGGCATGAGGACTTGTGTCTGGCACTCTGCGCTGACCTTGGGGCTCCTGCGGGAAGTCCGCCTCCACCTGGCCCCTTTCTTTGTCCAGTGGGGTTTGGCACTGTGACGATGCCTCACAAGTTGCTGTGAGGATGACAGAGGCGATGGCCTGGAGCCCGGGGGTTACCTGTCCACACCTGACGGACGCAGTCTGGCCGTGCTCCCCAACGCTCCCTCCCCACACAGATGCACCCTCAGCCCTCCTCCCTTAAGGCCCAGTGCGGGGTCTGCGGAGGGGCCTGGAGGCGGGGAGGCTCTGGGGTGTGTGTGTTGGGGGACTGTGGGGCTCTCTCAGGACACACAGGGGAACCCACTCACTCGCGAGACTCCGGAGCCGCCTCCCCGTCTGCACTAAGGCAGGGCTTGCCTGATGTTGCCCTGGACAATGACTCTGTCCATCTCCCTCAAGGTTCCTGTCAACCCTTTCATTTCCACAACCCCACCCGGGATGTGTGCAGGACGGAGAGGGGGAATTTAGAGGATTGTTCTTTGTGGTGTATCAGAAATATAATTTTCATTTCAAGTGTTATGTGTGGTCTCAGCTCTTTTATTGCCTAGTTCTGTGACCTGTGGTAAGTTACTTTTTCATGCTGAGCCCGTTTACGCACCCGTTGACAATCCTGGGAGGGTTGTAAAAATTAAATGCATTGACATCTTTTAAGTTCACGGAACAGCTGATGCTTACTAAGGTCCATGTAAGTGTCAGTCGGCACAAAGGTATAGACACCTTCCTAGCTGTCACCTGTCACCTTCCTGTCACCTGTCACCTTCCTAGCTGTCACTTGTCACCTTCCTACCTATCACCGGTCACCTTCTTACCTATTACCTGGCTCTGCTTTGTATGTACAATCTACAGGAGGCCAAGGTACGCCTGTTCACAGTGTTTCCTGGTGGGTTATGAATTATTGGGGAAAGAGCATCACACACACCCTATGCACAGCTATGCACACGCATGCTTATGTAGATGCAGCTATAAAGATTTGCGTTCCCAGTCTTGGGGGTAAGAGCAACACAGCTTATCTGCTGGTAGCCTCCCATGAGGCTGCAGGCAGGGTCTCCAGGTGGGAGAAGCTCAGTTCTTGCAACTACTACCCTTCTGCCTTTGGGGCTTCCACCAGCAGGTAGGAGAAAGATGCATTCACAAGCCACGTGCTCCGCTCAAGGAAGTCGAGAACACCCCACTCCTTGACCCAAACTGCAGCAGCAAGGTCAGCTCCTCCTCGGAGCATAAAGACTTCTAACACTTGCCGGCCAACCTTCTCTCTGTGCAGCCACTGCTTTCTGGAAAGCTACGGTCAGGCTTGTTTCTAGATTAGCACACAGGCATGGCTCGGCATTCAGAGGCCTGGAATCGTTAGCTACGATGATCACGGCCAAGAGCAAGAAGAGCCTTCCTTTCTGAGTGCCATGCAGTGTCTCCTCCCAACCCCAGAGGGCAGTGACCCTGCGTCCTTGTATTTTCCAGGTGCACGACATGGGGAAGAAGCTGGACTTCCTGGTGGACATGCACAGGCAGCGTCTGGGGCGGCTGCAGGTGCAGGTGTCCGAGTTCTGCCCCGCGGAGGGGGCCTCCTCCCCAGCGGAGGCGGGGAGGCAAGAGGACCCGCGGGACTCAGACCTGAAGACCATCCTCTGCCACTATTCTGAGACAGGCCCCCCCGAGGCTCCCTACAGCTTCCACCAGGTGCCCATCGACAGAGTCGGCTCCTGTGGGTTTTTTGCCCACGACCCCGCGAACCTGCCCCGCGGGGGCCCCAGCTCCGGGAAGGCTCAGGCGCTCCTCTCCTCGTCCGCGCCCTATGCCGAGAGGCCCACGGTCCTGCCCATCTTGACGCTTCTCGACTCGAGAATGAGCTACCGCTCCCCGCCTGAGCCGCCCGGCTCCGGCCCCACCCGGGTGTCCCCCCGGCAGAGACCCAGCGTCACGCGGGACAGCGACACCCCCCTGTCCCTGATGTCCGTCAACCACGAGGAGCTGGAGCGCTCCCCCAGCGGCTTCAGCATCTCCCAGGACAGAGATGACTACATGTTCGGCCCCAGCGGGGGGTCGAGCTGGATGAGGGAGAAAAGGTACCTCGCAGAGGGTGAGACGGACACGGACACGGAGCCCTTCACGCCTAGCGGCTCCATGCCGCCGTCGTCCACGGGGGAGGGGGTGTCCGACTCCGTATGGACCCCTTCCGGCAAGCCCGCGTGAGAGGGCCGTGGACAGACTGCCCCGGCAGTGTAGACAGACTCTGGACAGCTCCCGGCCCGCCTCGTCCCCGCGAGCCACGCGGGCGGCGGGAGCGCTTGCATGTGCCTGGCCGCCGGGCGGGCCGCGGCTCGCTCCGGTGTGGCCACACTGAAGCCGCTTCCTTTTCAGCATGGTTTGCATGACTTACGCTATATAAATGGTATCGCTACTCTTACTAGGAGCCACATTTATCTGCTGTTCTTACTTTTACTCACGACTGGATCAGTACAGGGAGAAATTCTTGACGAGCTGTGCTGTTTGTCTGTCTGGTTGGTTGGTTTGGGTTTCGGTGTGGTAATCAGGGAGTGGCCTCCATTGCTCCAACCACTGGCCCCTCGTGTAAAACAGGGCGGCAGTGAGCTGTTAGCAAGGCAACCAAATCACTTTCACGACAAAACGACGGCTGCCGTGGAGCTAAAATGTCAGGAAAGCAAGAAATCAAGAAATTGTGAAGGGAAAACTGGCCAAATCCTCTAAAAGCTCTCAGAGGACCCTCCCTGCCATCTCCCATGGCAGAGCATCCTTCCTCGGTTTCCTCGTCTTTAAAAGATGGTGGTAATCCCCAGGGTAGCTTTCCCGATGCGTCATAAATCCGTGAGACGAAAACACACACACACATTAAAATAGTTGCCAGTTTATATAACCAAAGTAGTGACATTCATCAGAAGCAGGTGCCCCTCGGGCAGGAGCTCGTTGAGTGCCTTCACAATGGGGTTCACACTCAAATCCTCCCTCCCCCATCCTTATGCACAATCCTTATGTCCAGCTCAAGTGGAAATGCAGGCCAAGAGGGCACATGAAGATCATGCCACTCAAGTCCTTTGTGACAAGGAGGAAACTTCAGCCCAGCTAAAGAGCCAGGCTGGGGTCGCGAGTTGTCCCCTGGAGAACTGGACCTCAAAGCCTGGTCAGCCAATTGGCTTGCTCCCAAGTCCCCCACTAGTCCACTCACCACTGACACACTGGGAGCCAGAAGTCATGGCAGGAGGCTGGACCCTGTACCTTGCGGCAGGCACTCACACTACAGTCTAGCCAGCAGGAAGGGCTAGACTGTGGAGCAGTCTTGCTTGATGCATTATTTTGTGTCCAGAAAGAAAAATAATACAAGCAAGTGACACATTTATGAATATACAAATGAGCAATTTCCAAAACATCCACTTTTATTCCTCCCAATTTTTTGGACCACACGTAGCCACATGAGTAGCTAAAGTGTAAGCAGACAGCTGGAGCACAATGTCCACCGTGTAAGTATGGATACTGAGCACAAACTATCCTGTGGCCTCTTAGATGTTACTACTCTCTAAGCACTTTGATGGAAAAGGTTTCTGTTAGACGTGGGCTAAATGACTATGTGGTTGAATTAATGGCCTCACTCTTACATATCTAAAGAGTTTGTCAGTGGTGGCCGCGGTGATCGTCAAGCTGATCAAAATAGCCTAGACAAAAATCTGCGTGCAACTCCACTGCACGTCTCCATCACGATCTTGTCCAGAGCATAGTAGCTGCTCTGGGCATCTCACCGATAGTCTCGTCACTCCCCAACACAGAGGAGCTGCTTCCTTCCAACAAGCCAACAGGCGCTGGGAAAGAGGCTTGGAGGAGAGTGACAATGAGGATTTGGCCCAGGCATTTGCCGGAACTCAATGGAATGCTCAGCTGGAAGACTTGGACTTTCTCACCCTTGAACTAAAATAACTATGTCAACCCACAGCTAGAGGACTGTCTCATCTTCTTTCAGCGGTTGAGAAAAAGGAGCTTGTGTCACTTGCCAGCCCCAGGGAGGAAAGTCCAGCTTCCCTGCTAGACTGGAAGGCCAGGGTGGCAGGGTTTGGGTTGGTGTTGATTGCCACTCTCCCCAAACATACAGTGAGCTGTTTTCATCAGTGTTTACAAAGATAAAATACACTTTTCTTGAGTGGATAAATAAGAATCACAAAGAGCCATTCTTTCCCATCTAAAAAAGAAAAGAAAAGACCATGATATCTGGGATATACTACTCTGATAGTGCTTTAAAAATACACCAATGATAAAACAGAAGCTCAGGGCCCGGGTCAGGTCAGTCCCGTGAGAAGCAGTGTGTGTATCCACAAAGACCTCCTGGCAGACAAAGGAAAGCTGTGTGGGATGAGCCAGCAGCACTGGCTAGTGACATGGTCCAACATCCACAGCTTCAGCTATACCAGTGGTTCTGAAGCTTGCCCGGGAAATGGCAGTAGTTTCAGAAGAATCCAATGGCAAAGTGATAAATTCCATTATAAAAATTAGCAATGATTTTCTCAAGTGAAACTGTGATCCCATTATAGGTGTGCAGCTTCTGTGTGTTCCAGAATAGTGTATGACAGTTTTCAGAAGTCACCTTTTAACAGGATCAAAATGAATGCCATAAGTCTACTTTCCAATGATCGAGTGAAATGTGATACTATTGACCACAGCAGAAAGTCCTGAGGTCGTGTGAGTTTTAATTTTCAAATACACAAGTAAACACTAACAGTTTAAGAGAAAAAAAAATGTAAGAGGAAAAAAACAAGTCAGGAAATTTCTAGTCACTATTTGTACTGGGGACCGAGAGATTAAACGTCTTTGACATGATGTTGTTATTACAAAACCCTAATTTGCAGGACAGTATAACTAGAAAACTCAAAGGTCCCTAAAGGTCAAAATGAACTAATTAATAGACACTTGTGCTTCTAATGCCTGTTTTGTGCAAGGCAGTTCCCAGACACTGTAAAAAATTGAAAGACTAATAATTACTTGTCGAACATCCTAATATAACAGGATCTACTCTGAGCTTGCCAAGACCATTCATAATTTGTGTCACTCTAAGAGTGTAATAAAACCACTTGTTTATTCATCTGACAAAATTTATTAAACTTCACCCTCTAGTTAAGCACTGGGCAAGACACGAGAAATTCAGACATAAGAAAATCGGTTTCACTATTGAAAAGGTAGGAATCTGGTAGCTTTAAATATTGGGGGACCCTTCATATCCTGCCTCCAGGAATGGAAATTACTTGATTTCATCCCTGAAGAGAACTATACAGACAGGAATGTTTTCTGGCTGGAATCAGTAGAGGATAGAACATGGAGAAAGTGAGAGTGAAAATTCTGCATTGAATTGGTCATGGCCACCAGCCCAGGGAAGGCTGAACAGGTTGAATTGATACTTTGAATGTAGATTGAATGTTTTGAACTTTAGTGCTCCAGAGAAGCTGTGCAAGCAGGAGGTTCTTAGAGAAATCAGTTTTCTCCTCGTTTCTAAATTCTTACTGGGACTGAGGCCAGAGAAGGCATTGAGCTACTCCATTTCATCATGGTGACCAAAAGAGACTTGGGGTTCATACCAAGAATACGTCTATTCCAGGAAAAAGCTGTCAACTCTACCTGTGGGATTCTGAAAATCAAGTTCCCCTGGGAAAACGGAAAACGTGTTCTGTGATCTAAAAGCCAAGTGCACCGTGACACCAGAGCTCCCAGAGAAGATGCCACAGAGCAGGTCTTTTTTCTCTCTGAACTCACTTCCAAGGTGCCTGCACCACAAGGATTGCCTTTGCTTTCTGGTCCCTGAGCTTCTTTGAGAGTTGAGTCATGTCTTGTCTTGACCTTAAAGATTTGCTTCATTATTTCAGGATGACTATTCTAAAGGCCTTCAGTCTTTTCTTTTATTCCAATTCAATCAACCTTTTTGTGCTACTGACAGACATGTGCACAAGCGAGCAGCAGTCCCTGATCACAGCCGCAGGGGTGGCTCACGGAAGCCCAGCGGAGCACACATAAGGACCTCGGAGATCAGCGTAACTTTAGCGTCTTTAAAATTGAGCAGTGGAAATATCAAGGAAAGAGGATGGAGAAGAGATCACCTGGAGGAAAACTTGAGGTTCAAATTCAAAAGTGTTGGAACTATTTTCTACCCTGCTTTGATTTGCAGATGATTTACCCATAAGCCCCTAGTGCGGTCATTGCCATAACTTGGAGACTAGTATTCACATTCTTTGTTTTACATGTGTGGACTCCATGGCCATGGCTTACTTCTGGAAGCTAAATGTACACCGGAAACTCCTTTTTTCAGAAAAAAAGTAGAGATATAATTTGGATTATTGCATGACAAATCTGGGCACTTTTGTAGTTCCTTGCTAAGTTAGTACATCTCCACAAAATGCTTACTTTTTCCATCAAAATGAGGAGGAGCAGGAATGTTGAAATGAAGGGAGTAGGAAGTTGGGTCCCAAAAGGCTAGGTTGTCCTTAGCCTCCATTTAGCACCCACCTAAGAAAATGGTGCCTGGCATTTTGCTCATAGAACTTGATAGCTTCCTGGCTGCTCAGAGCAAGGAGACATTGACCCTCAGACCAGCCACCTGTCTTTTTGGCTCAGAAAGCAGAGGCCAAAAGCGAAGGGAATCACAGTGGTCGAATGAGTAATTGGGTAGCAGAGGCCATCTAAAAAGCAAGCCCTCAACTCCTAGTGCAGATATCGGCGAGCAAAAACCAAACATAAGATAATACCTGAGGCCAGGTATCATCAGGTGAACCCAGAAGATGAATGAGAACTTCCTGGTCTACTTGAGAAACTGCTAAGCCAGATACAATTGGGGGGCCATGGTGTTAGTCTGGAATAATTGGTGACACAATGCCTTGAGATGGCAGCATTCCCTTCCCAGTCCCGCCATCTTTAGAATGTGCAGCCCTAACCACTGCTGCCATGTGTGCTTGAGAATGGGGTGTAGCATGGACTTGCAGCCCAGCTCCCTCTGCTTCCTCTCCACACCCACCCCCACCTCCCCAGTTCTGCTCCCTGACCCAGCCCTTGAACTCAGTGCACTCCAGATCATGCCTCAGGCTGTCATCTCACCACAAGTCAACTTAACAGGATTTCTACTTGAAAAAAGTAGAGATGTTTGATTTTAAGGAATGGGGTGTGATTTCTTTTGAGGATATTAGGACCCTCAGTTGCCAATTCTACTGATGTGTCCCTTTGCAATGACACCTCTGGGTGTCACCTGAGGACGCAGAGCTCCTGCTTCGTAGTTCTTTGTCCCAGAGAAGGCTCATCTTGACCAGGGCACAGCCAGGTGCTCTAAAATCTTCCCCCCAAATTCCAAAGTTGCAAACAGGATTCAGCTTAAGATGACTTATGTTCGTATAGCAAGGGTGGGGGGGAGTAAAACTGGATTCTGTTGGCGCAAGTGAAGATTTCAATTTGGTTTCCACTTATGCTGTGCTCAACATAGATGCCAGAATTTGGAAGGGATGTGACTTCTCTTGAGGATCTAGATGACCCTAAGTTGCCAGTTCGACTGAGGTGTTGCGGTGAGACCTCTGGGTCTCATTAACAGGTTGCCCCTTCTCCTAAGTGCGGCTGAGCGAGAAGCTTCAAGAAATAGAGAGATGGTCAAGCTTGTGTGAGAACTAGTAATTTTATAGTCACTCAACCTAAGCTTTCTTTGCCTCCAAATAGCTCTGTTCTGGGATTAAAATAAGTTTCAGAGGGAAGAAAGCAAGACATGGGCTCTGTATAAGAATATCCTGAGTGTGACTTGCAATTAAATAGTCAAAAGCCTAGGACAATGCTCAGGAATATATTTGCAGTTCCTCTTAGACTTATCAAGGGGATGAAAAAGTCATGCTAAGAGTAACGAAAAGTGAGACATGTCTTCTTTCCATGTTTCCCTCTCTTATCTTGCCCACAGACTGAGGTCAGGAAGAAGGAAATTTGCCCTAAACTTTCTATGAGTTGTATGAGACAGTCTCTCTCTGACTCATGTAAAGCTCATCTCAACCCCACCAGGGAGATGTTGTCTCCATCTTACAGATGAAGAAATGGAGCTGAGAGGGAAAATACCTTGCCAGAGGCCACACACTATAAGAGACAGTGCTGGCATCTTAACCAAGCTCTCACACCTCCAAATTTCTTCCTCCCTCTGATCCCAGTGTCCCAGGTCAATGGCACTGCGCTCAGCTCATGCCCTGTGGCCTTTGCCAATGTCTTGCCCACCTACTCCAGTCATCTTTGCAGTAAGACGATCACAGATCCAGCTGTTCCCTGGAGAGAAGTGCAACAGCGGCCTCAGCTGCTCCACCTAGCCCTTTGGCTACATGTCTGTTGTTTCAGTGGCTTCACAATTGAACTGTCAGCGGCACAAAATAATGCAACACAAATTATTCATCTGGCTCATGGTGGAATACTTTGACTCTTGGAGTTTGGCATAGCTGCAGATAATCCCACAAGAGCTTCTTGTTCTCTGCCCTCAAGGAACCCCTGTTATTGTCTTAACTAAGCAGGTTCAAATGTCCCTCCTGACTCTGGCCTTTTGTCTCTAGATATACCTTCATTTCCAGATTTTGAAATCTGCAGAAACAGGTGAGTCTCCACAAACATTCTCCAGGAGGTGAAATGCTGAGAACAGTTGTATTTCTCTCTCTTGATATTAGAAGATCAAGATTGCCAGTAAAAGTCCAGCTGATGTGGTAATTGGGCCTCCTGGCTCTCTCTGGAGGGAGAGGAGAGCAGATCCACTCTCCAAAGTTCCTGTGAGGCTTTGGAGTCCACTGGGAGACCAAGTCCCAAGATGGGTGGCTGCCATTTTGTCAAATCCGAGATTTTGTTGTTGAAGAAGTGAGGCAAGCTCTGTCCCACCTTAAGAGCCATCTTAGAAAGACTGGCCAGCTTCATCAGATTTAGCAGTCATGCCTGTTTAAAGAGAAAAATGCTTTCTACTTTGCTTCCACTGGGATATCGCTATTTTCTTTCTAATGAAGCAGTGATGAAAAACACCAATTTCTGAAGAGCAAATTGAGATTTCTAGTGACATGAACCATTGTATTTGATTTTAGATTGTATTTTATTTAACCCCTTTCTATGGCATAGAATTCTGGTGCCTTGCTCCCTGATCTTGTCTCCATGCTACAAGTAGGCTTTCCTCACATTCTGGCTTACACAGGAACACTACTATCCCACAAGTGGCCTTTAGTGCTCTTTATAATATGATTTCCTGTAATTTTTAAACTGTATGTATAATTTATATTCTGGCTCTGTCCAATATTTGAACAACTTTAATAGGTTGGTTTCCATATATATTATGCAAATAATTCTTACCTGATTTTTTATGTTTGATCTGAAAACAAAGAAATACTGCACCACTTATTAATAAATAGACATTTCAATGATTATGTGACAGAATGTTACTTGCTTTGAAACAGTTCTTGTAAGACTGTATTTAAGATAATTAACACTGGCCAATACTACAACAACAACAAAAAACACTAAATACGAATGGTCCAACACAAGATTTATTTCTTCCTCACATTAGAACTCACCGTGAATTTTCTCAGTATCAAAGAGTGATATAAACATTGAGGCTACGTTCTTTCTGGGTGCTTATATGCTGGAGTATTTTGCTTCTCTCCACAGAGCCCGAGAGGAAAGACGTAGGAGAGCCAAGTCTTGGACTCCAGGTGCCGCTAATGCCTTGGACTCCAGGTGACGTTGCTCTTCCATTCACATGCCCATTGGCCAAGCTGAGTCACATGGTACTGGTCAACCTGTAGGGGAGGCTGGGGAATTTTGTCTTCATGAGTTTCATCATGAAATATGTATTGAAATACGCTTTGTTCGCCACAGAGGAAATTTTGATATTCTCTAGAGGTTCTTCTTATTACTGAATGGTGACAAAATCACTGGCAAACAAAAGTGTAGTTTTCATCCCGGCAATGAAATCACCAAATCAGAAAGTCTCCCTGGGAATCACTAGAATACCATCAGGCATCGCGCACTGGCAGGAATTGGTGAGTTCCCCCACCTCTTGGTCACAGTTCCTCTCGGGGGGCAGAACAAAATGTTATCTTTTTCCTTGGTAACAAATGCCATCACACAGGGAACCCGTCTTCCCTTCCCCTCCTGCCTACACCCCCTACAGCACTGTTCTCTTTCCAGACAGGTGTGGATTACCTGAGTGTATGCATTTATCATGAGCTTTCATATTGTAAAATGAAGACATGTACATTTCACTCTATAATTTTTTTTTCCTAAATAAAAACACTCTTATGGGGAAAGAGTTTGAGGCACAATTAAGGTACTTTTAATTAATTTACCATTTATTTATTTATTTAAGATATATTTATTTGTGCATACAGAACTGGGGTACGGGCCAGAAGCTCAGGGGTGGCGAGAGGCCTCACCAGAGACAGAGTGGGGAGCAGAACAGGCAGAT